TGAATGAGAGGCCAACACCGTAACCTCTTAGGCCACTAGAGCCCCTCTTTCAGTTGTGATGTTATGTTTTCTTAGGGTTTCCTTGACACCCTCGATCCACCTTTATTGTGTCTATGGGGGCGTAAAAAGCACCCACCCTACGTTTACGACTTGTTTCGGGGCAGTTTGCTCCGACCGTGCCAGCAAGGGCCAGCCCGTGCTGTAAGACAGATAATTAGTTCCCAGTAGATCGACAGATATGGGAAGAAGGATACAAACCACCTAATAGGAATAGTAAAGTCTGCCGTTGAAGTAAAAGAACTTTAGAATTTTACAATATTGCCTTTCAAATCCTTCAATAATTACGTTAAATGGATGTAGAGCAAAACAAAAAACAAAAAACAAACAAAACAAAGCAAAACAAATAGAACGAAAGAGTTTTTTTTTTTAAAAAGAAATGTACAAACTAAAACACCAGGAATGCAATTTAGCTCACATTATTGCTTCAATTAAGCTCTCTCAGATCAAAAGATATTTTTTAAATTATATATATGTGTGTATGTGTGCTTGTGTGTGTATGTGTGTGTATGTGTGTGCACGCGCTTGGGTGTGTGTGTGTGTGTGTTTATATGTGTGTGTCTACGCGTATGTGTGCATGTATGACGTGAAGAAGCTTAACTGGCTTGCCGTATTCTATGAAAGATGATGATGATGATGATGATGATGATGATGATATTGATGATGATGATGATGATGATGATGATGATGATGATGATGATGATGATGATGATGATGATGATGATAACGACGACGATGACGACGCCAACGTTTGCAGCAGTGACCTCCACAACTGTTCCGTTGTCCATCTTGCTGTGGCGACGTCAGATCCCGCCTGGATGCGTGAAGGTCTCCGCGTGGAATCGGTGATAGTTTTGCCCTACCCTCGGACACGTATGCCAGACAAAAATATCACCGCTTGCGCGCGGAGCTCCGTCGTGCCGGTCTGGTTAAGGATGGCAGGACAACTTGTTCTTAAATGTATGGGTTTATTAATGTTTGTCACTCTGTTGTGAACTGCTATTTCCGGGGTGCCTTGAAAGTCGAAGCAGACGTTGTGCTGTTGAGGCTAAAGAGGTGACCAGAGTAAGCCTGATTCCCCGTTTGGACTTCTCTGTTGACATCCACCCCTTGGCGCTCCCATGATCTTTTGCAGTTGCGAGCACCGTGAAACCTTACTAAAACTTAACTAAATGTGTGGGGGTTTTACGCCCCCATTCGATACAATTTAGATGATATATGAAGCAGGTTTCAAGCTCCGTCTGTGGGTGGTTGACGGGTGCTCTGGTGTTGTTTATTACTTCTTTCCGCATTAAATATCTACCATCCCTTATCTCTCCTCCTTCTTTCTTATTAAGTATCTATCGTCTTTTTCTCTCACCCTTCTTTCCTATCAAACATCTATCCCCTTATCTCTGCTCCTTCTTTCCTATCAAACATCTATCCCCTTATCTCTGCTCCTTCTTTCCTATCAAACATCTATCCCCTTATCTCTGCTCCTTCTTTCCTATTAAATATCCATCGCCCTTTTCTCTCCTTTTTCTTTCCTATCAACCATCTATTGTCGTTTTCCCTCTTCCTTTTTTCCTATCAAACATCTATCGTACGTATCTCCTTCATCTCTTCTTTGTATGTTATTCTCTAATATCATCTCTAATCGTCGGCATTGAAATGACCTAGTTGTTTTGCAAATGCCATAAAAGTTTTACTGAACGTAAATAACTCAAGACTCAATCCACACCTGAAATTGTCCAGGTGTGCCACCATATTGCTCATGTTTTAAGGCTCCTGGATGATGATGATGATGATGATGATGATGATGATGATGATGATGATGATGATGATGATGATGATGATGATGATGATGATGATGATGATGATGCC